TGTTTTATAGTAAAACAGCTCCGTGAGCTGCTGGAAACCTTTCCATCCTGTTAATACTCAGGGCTAGTTGAACAGATATTTCTGTGGACAGCCTTTGAGCGATCCTCTGACCTTTTTGTCCAACGTCTTTCCCGAAGCTTGACCCAAAGCTTGTCTGCTGGGGAAGGAGAATCTGGAGGCGGTTCAGGTGTTTCTGATCTCTCAGCATTCTCTTCAGCCTCAGTTAACCCATCTGGTTCCAGGTCTTCGGCTGCACTCATGACAACCCATAGGCCAAGGCTAGCCCAAAAGCCAAGGGTTGTTGATGTTGTTATGTGGCCTCAAGTCACTTCCGATCTATGATGACCCTACAAATGAGCCACCCCCAAAATGTCCTGTCCTCAAAGAGCCCTGCTCAGCTCCTGCAGACTCAAGTCTGTCTATGGCTTCCTTTAGGGAGTCAGCCCACCTCATGTTTGGGTCTCCTCTTTTTTCCTGCTGACTTCCACTTTTACCAGCATGACTGCTTTTCCAGAAAATCCTACCTTCTCATGATCTGGCCAAATAGGACAGCCTTTGCTTCAACTATTTTTGCTTCCAGAAATAGTCCAGGCTTGATTTGTTCTAGGACCCACTTGTTCGTCTTTCTGGCAGTTCAGGCTATCTGCTAAGCTCTCATCCAACAGCACATTTCAAATGAATAATTTTCCCCTCTGTCAGCTTTCACATCCATACATGGTGACTAGGAATACAAGAACGTGGATGATCTTGGTCCTGATCTCCAGTGACACATCTTGATGATCTTTTCTAATTCCTTCATAGTCTCTGTCTTCTGATTTCTTGGCTGCATTCCCCATTAGGACCAGTGGAGGGAGAGCCTTAAAATGAAGGTATTAACCTACACCGTAAAAGTCACTATGTAACTACAGTACTAATTGTGTTAGTCAGTACCAGAAAGTAGTTACATACTTGTAATTAGTTACAGTAGTACCTCGGTTTACAAAAGCATCGGTTAATAATTTTTGGTTCACAAATGGAAATCCGTTGAAAATAATGCCTTGGTTTTCGTCCCCCCCTTTTTTTCCAGTTTGTGAAGAAAGTTTTCCCAGGATGCATTGTGCCTGGAGGTTTGTAGTGCCACCTCCATTCCTACGGCAATCCACGTTTCAATTTATGAATTTTTCGCTTTATGTAATGTCCCGTAGAACGCATTAATTTAATAAACGGAGGTATGCCTGTACTTCCAAGCTCTACTTTGGACAAAGCCTTATTGGAAGATGTCTCTTTAATTGAAAGTATCATTGCCGTTCAATTAAGGATAAGTGGTGACTATTAGCTAGTCAAATGGTGACTCTCTCCATGCTGCTTGGGGAATTCTGGGAGTTGTGGTCCCCAAAGTGACATTTCTAATAATAATGTGTGCTATCAAGTCAGTTCTGACTTACGGCAACCCTTTTCAGGGCTTTCTAGGTAGGGAGTACTCAGTTTACCATTCCTTTCTTCAAGGGCAGTGGGGGGGGGAGGAAGTCCTGGGACCGTGCAGTTTATAAGGACCACACTTCTCCTAGGAGGCACAGTGGGGAAGCAAATTCCCAACCTCTGGCTCCACAGGCAGACACCTAAAAACTGAGCTCTGCCATTAACCATGTCAGTTAAGCAGGTCCTTTGTGTGTTCAAAAAGGCATATATGCCTCTGCTTACCACTGGATGGAGACAACATGACATGAATGACAGAGGCTGCGTGTTTGGGGATTGGGTGAGAACTTTGTTTCAGTTTGGTTTGGCTTTTTAATCAGAATTTTCCCAAATTCAAAAAATGAATCTGGATGAAATTGGAATCGGCAGATTTGCCTGTCAGAGATGAGCAGTTCATATCTGTTGTTGCTGTTGTTGTTTTTAAATTAGAATTTGCCAAGATTCACAAAACTCCAGTGTGGGTGGAAAGTAAAACTGACAGAGGTGGCCAGTCTATGTAGCAGAGAGGCAGTGATGTGTAGTGGGCAGAGTGATGGATTTGGACTCAGGAGTCGTGGGATTGAATCCCTGCTTGGTCATGGAAACTCAGTGAGGAGTGGCAATGTTAAAGCCACTCTTTAAATATCTCACATTCCTAAATCCCAGTAGGGGGGTTTGTTGTGAAAGCACACAATAAATGAGTATTCACGGCATCTTCAAAAGTTAACAATTTTATTTTGGCAGTTGCATATGTAAACAACAGAAGATGTTGATCCCTGTCACACTGTCTGTGTATATTTTCCCCAAAGGTATTAGGATGCTTGGTGCTAGATGCTTTGGTCTAAATCCCACTCAAGCAGGACCCACTGAACCAATGGGACGTGGCAAGTCAACAGATACACAAGTCCCGCTGATTTAACGGGCCGAGTCTAATGGGGAAATAAGAACTGGATTGCTCAGAGTGCTAGACAAGAAGGTAGGGAGAATCCAGAATTCTGAGCTTAACTCTTGGCAATTTCACACATGACTGATGTGAAATCATTCTTTCCAGTTTGGACTGACAAAAAGCATCAAATTATTTTTGCATTTTGGAAGTCCTTTTGAATTGACTTCAGTGGTTCAAAAGCTGCCTTTCATGTTCTTTTTATCATTTTTTTAAGTGGAGTACTCCTGAATTAATCCAGCATTCTTAGCAAGAGGAATGGTCATCTAATTTATTGTGGTTTTTTTAGCTGTCCTTTGAATGTCTTTAGTCATATTCCTCCTCAGTTTTAGAACTGCTTCTAAAACTGCTAGTTGCAGGATTCCAGGAGTGACTGTCCAAAAAAGCAACATTTTCAAACTTTGTTGTAGGTTTTTCGGGCTCTTTGGACATGTTCTGAAGGTTGTTCTTCCTAATGTTTAGCCAGTCTCTGTGGCCGGCATGTTTAGAGGACAGGAGTAGCACTCTGTGCTCTGGTGCAGTTTGCTTGGGAGTTGAGTATTTATAGCTGTTGGATCAGCTTTGTCCTTTTCAGGAGATGGGTGATTATGGTGATCAGTGTGTTTTTGTTGCGAGTGTATTGTGATAAGGAGAGATTATCTGTCATTGTGATTGATGGGTGTCATTAGCTGGTCTTTTGTGTGTGGTGATCACTGGTCCTTGTGGCTGGGTAGAGTTCGTTGACCTTTTGCAGGCTGTATTTTTCAGTGCTGGGAGCCAAGCTTTGTTGAGTTTTAAACTTTCTTCTTTTTTGTCGAAGCTCTGCTGGTGTTTGTGGATTTCAATGGCTTCCCTGTGCAGTCTAACATAATGATTGCTGGTATTGTCCAGTATTTTAGTATTTTGAAACAGAATTTCATGTCCAGCTTGTTTTAGGGCATTTCATGTCCAGCTTGTTTTAGGGCATTTCATGTCCAGCTTGTTTTAGGGCATTTCATGTCCAGCTTGTTTTAGGGCATTTCATGTCCAGCTTGTTTTAGGGCATTTCATGTCCAGCTTGTTTTAGGGCATTTCCAGCTACTGCCGATTTTTCTGGTTGTTTTAGTCTGCAGAATCATGTTCTTTGATTCTGGTGTGGATGCTTCATTTTGTGGTTCAAAGTAGTGGATAGAAAGCGCGGAAAGCCTTGATAATTGGTAACATTTCTAGATGATTGATATGCAGCAGCTTCTCTGAGCTGGACCACCTGGTGTGGATCTTGTGAAGGCCACAATGCGCGCCCCATCCTGCTGTACTGGCATCTGTTGAAGGGGTTTGAAAGGTCAACCGATCAGAATATGAGGCACAAAGGTCCACCACATTAGTTGATGAGCTAACTCTGGAGTGACCCCTAGACGCTTGGTAGGGTTGTCCAACAGAGGACTGAACTGCAAGAGGTACCATGCCTGCAGGGAGTGCATCTTCAGTTGCGCATGAGGAACAGCAGACGTGGTGGAAGCCATCAGACCTAGAAGATGTTGAGTGTGGTGTGCTGACACCCTGGTGCCTGGCCAAAAAGGACAGATAGCATGATGTAACTTGTGAATTCTTTCGGCAGGGAGAAAGACTCTGGCTCTGTTGGAGTCCAGAACTGTGCCAATATAGTCAATGGTCTGAGAAGGTATAACATGTGACTTCGTAATGTTGACTTGAAGGCCTAGATCTGCCAGAGTTTGTAGTGTGAAGGCCGTGTCCTCTTGTGCCTTGGCATAAGAGCTAGCAACGATCAACCAGTCATCTACGTATGGAAAAACCATGTTGTTGAGAAAGAGGTAGGCTGCTACTGGAGCTAGGCACTTCGTGAAAGTGCTTGGGGCGGTGGCAATGCCAAATGGTACACTGAGTCCATGAAAATGAACCTAAGATATTTGTGATGAGACTCGTGGATAGTAATGTGAAAGTAAGTGTCCTGTAAGTCTATCACAACGAACCAATCTCCTGCAGCAAGAAGTGGTACGATGGATTCTAAGGTGACCATACAGAATCGCCTGTGACGAAGGTAAATGTTGAGACAGCTGAGTTCCAAGATTGGCCACAGGCCTCCATCCTTCTTGGGGACCATGAAATATCAGGAATAAAAGCCATCCAGTGCTTCTTGAGAAGTAAGATGTTGAACTGCATGCTTCTGAAGAACAGAGACTTCTTCCTCTAGAGCAGGTGAGTAAGTAGTGATCTTGAGATGACCGAGAGGAAGATCTGAGAACTCTAACAGGTAACCAAAACGTATGATGGCGAGCACCCGAGTGTCTGTGATGATGGTAGATCACCTGAGAAAAAGAGGAAGATCTAACATGAGATGGCTTAACTGAAAAGAAACCAGCCTTTACTTTGTAAGACGTGAGGAAGGCCATTCATGAGAGACCCTTTTGGGGTTCATTAATTTTTTAAGTCAGAAGCAACTGTTAGGATAACAGCACTTTGAAGTGAAATATTGGGAACACTTAATAATGAAACTTGATTACCTTCGTATTTTCCTTGTGAACCTCCCACAAGCCTCTGGTTGAGCATTATAGGAAATGAGACTGGACTGCAGAGAGTTCTTCAATCTGAGTTGATGAGTCTTTTGTGCCTTGTGATCCGTGATGAGGAACATAACTGACATCTGTTGACTAGCGATGCTAGAGGATTTTATTAGTCCATCTTTTAAAAGCTCATCAACCATCTTTGCTCTTTCTTGACCAATACACAACAGAATACAATTCATTCCTTGGACTGTACACTCCTTCAAATCTTGTGATACAGTTCTTGGCTTAAAATGTGCATGCCTAATTTCAGGCAGAAATGTGAATTTTTGCATATTTGAAAGAATGGCAGGACAGGACATATGTGACGAAATATATGTGAAACAGACATAGACTAGAAAGAGACAGTTATCCCAGTTGAAAACAGGCTGTCAAGGTGACCTATTTGTCTCCCCATAATGCTAGTCACTCTGCATACTAAAACAAAGGCAAACAAAACATGACTATCCAAGCCACACTACATTGAGTTCAAAACCTCCTTTGCCTCAAAGTACAATTCTAGAACACCTCACACAACAAAAAGTGAGTCAATGCCAGTAGAGCAGTCTCAGTTGGTGTTTATTGAAGCCATTAATTAAAGACATGTCCTTTTTTGCCAGCACTAAAAAGCAAACGTTCCACATGACTGCACCTGGTTAAAGCCATACAACTGGACTAAGGGTTGTGTTGGATACATCTGCAGTCCTTATTGGAAGTTTTTAAAAGTCAATAAACGGCGTAATATAGGAGAAGTGGACTTTCATTTACAGCATGGATATGGTTAAGTTTAATTGTTTTCAATGCAATAAAATAAAATAAAATAAAATACAAGTCCTGTTCAATTTAAACAAGTTTTAAAATGCCAATAAAAAGTGCAAACTTAAAAAAGAAAGGAAGCAGCATATCCATAGCATTTTGATGGATGGCCAATCTTTTGTATTTGCCTTCTATTCAATATCAATAGATCATAACTTCAGTTTAAACATGAACAGTAGATGCAATCATTATACCATATATAAATATAGCCACATAATATTTTAACAGTCTACCACAAAAGTGTATTCTGAAAAGAAATTTAATTGTATTTTTAAACATAAAAGCTGTTTGCAGTTTGGCCTATGGTTCCAATGCCTGAGAACACCAGAAAAGACAACTGTGCAGCTTTCCAAAATTACTAGACTTTGACAACTGACAAAGACTACATTACATACAGCTTCCATCTTTGAGAAAGTAGGAGCAGTCACTTGCAAAGAGGAAATGGTGTGTGTTAAACTTTTATTTGGATTCAAGCACTCCTTTGCACAATTCGAAATGGTATGTTGTTGGTTTGCCCATTTGTAGCGGATCTAACATTCATTTTATGAAAATGAAAAACACTTTGGTAGCCACTTGAACACAATATTGTTACTATCTGTGTGAATGACAGAAATGTTAATTTTAAAAAGGCATCTGTGTATTGAGGTCATAAAACCTCTCACTTCTCCAACTTCCTTGTTTTGCTTCCAACGTTTCACTCCCTAGAACTAGTATCTCCAGGTAGCCAAAATCAATTCTGGACTGGTCAGTCATCGCAAGCCTGGTTTTATGTCATTTGCATTATGCAAGTGAAGGAAGGAGGCGAACTTCCATCTACTAGAACCCTTTGTAAAACTTAACCATCCCAGCATGCCAACTTGTTGTGCATTTATACATGGCATAAAAGTGGTAGCTGCCTAAAAATAAACTAAAGCTGCAAGCCACAAGGGCAGGATGCAAGTCACATCTACTGGGGTAATACAAGGCTACAATTTGAGTTAAATGTGCATATGGCAGATCATGTGCCAGACTGTAATAAGCAGCAAAATAACACACTAAATCCCCTGGCTGCAATGTCTTAGTTTAAGAACTAGGCAACTGTGGATGTAGCTGAGGCTTTAAAACATTAAAAAATGTTTTTAAAATGGATAAAACATCACTGGCACAATAAACATGCTTTTATGTTAACACAAGTAAATTCTCTTAGCTTTCTAGTTAGTGTTAGATTTACAAAAACAAAGAGATGGCCTCCTTTTGTAACACAGGGTTTGCAATTACATCCAGTGCTGTGTTAGTGGTCAATTCATTCTGTATATTTAATTCATTCTGTATATTTAACTATATATATATAGTTAAATATATGTGTATATATATATAAATATTAGGAGTGTTCTATTCAGGAACAAGATAGCATAACTCAAAACTTTATCAATAAAAGTAAACTCTGTGTAATTCATATGGTGGTTTTTTCCCTTCTGTCTGTTGATAATGAGAATGTTTGGTACTATAATGTAAGGTAGTGTTCTTCTGTCAAACAGATCATACAGAAAATCAAAAGTGCCATTTCAGTAACTGTGAGTCTCTTAGGAGCCATAAACACTTTTCTAAGTAGTAATGAGGGACAACTATTAAGATTTCCTTCCATGTATAAAACAATACAATGAGTGGGGCAAAACACAAAGGTAATGAAGTACTAGTTTATAATTGCAAACCTAAGAACTCTACAGTTTACTGCCATTTGGAACAAGATTCTTAGAAGTCTACCAGAAAATTGTAACAGGTTTTAAGAACCTTAAGGCAGGATTTCATTTTTAGCTTTGCAATTCTCAACTATTTTTAAAAAGAGAAGAAAACAACTGATTTTTATTCTGTAACACTGACTTCTATCCTGTTTCATTATGGTAAAGTGATATGTCACTCATTCTTCTGAACAGACAGGCAGTCATGTATTCGGGAGGAAGAAGAAAATAATTCAGGGCAGAAGCTATGAGAAAAAAAGGATTCAAACTTAAAACAGTTATCAAAAGTAACTAAGTTTCAAAATAAAGTTAAGCAAACATAGACTGTTTGTATTACAGTGCATGAGAGGTTCAAGCACCTTCTAAAAGACACATCTCTCACTGTGCCAGGCACTTGGTCGAAGCAATTTTCTCCTTGTGTCAGTTCTGACAAAAAGGGCATCCACGACATTTTAAGAATCTTCCTGTTAGAACTAAAAAAACCGCAACTGATAACAAGAATAATCCTCATGATGCTCAGTGTTTTAAACTTCGAGTGCTTCCCAAATGTAAACGGTTTTTTGTTTTTAAAACATGATTATCTGATCTGTTTTCAACACTGCTTTTCTCCAGCTTGTCCAACATGCTTTTCACCACTATTCACCAAATCTCACACTTCCCCTTTTACAGATGTATACATTCCTTCAGCTAACAAAATATCTGCTACACCTAATTCTCTTCAAGTACAGATACATTTTGGATGGCCAACTCCAGTAAGTTTGGGAAAAGGGGACTTCATTCTTCCTTAGTGCCAGCAGCCACTAAAGGCTTTTCAACAGGAACTCCACATTACACGTCTCTCTGTACATCCCTAAGAACTGCAGCTGCATCTTGTCCGCCACCCCAAATAAGAGAATTACCCTATTTTAACTCTAGTATGGTTATCTTAAAACAGAGGAATTTTATATGCAAAACTTCCTGAATGTGCATTTGATACTGGGACAAGCCAATGAAGGTTAAATTTCATTTCCCCCTGCCCCAAGAAAAACTTATAATATCTGCCATAGCAGAGAGCTCCTGGTCTTATCAGATCAATGTACATAGTTATTTGGTCATTTACATATGCAGGTTTCAAGCATAATCAAGCTTCATTCTCTGTTGGAGAGGAGTTGGCTGATATAGAGTCTGGCTTACGAGTCATTCTGTCCAGTTCTTCTTGAACATTTGTCAAAACAGTTTTCTGTCCTAAAAAAAAGAAAAGAAAAAAGAAAGAGGAAATTGTTTTAGTATATGTATGATATACTAGTATCACAGCAAGAAACATAATATGGGATGGCAAAAACAGATGTGGCCCTGCAAGATTCAAGCCCAGGCTCATATGTTTTACTGTGGGATTAGCCACGCTACAGACCTATTTCAATGTTGTCTAGTCTGGGACAGGAAAGGGTGCTCCCAATGTGGTTAGACTGCAATTCCTAGCATCTCTCACCATTCGGTAGGCTGCCTAGAGCTGATGAAAGCTGCAACCCAACGTCATCCAGTGGATCACAGTTGCCTAACCTTGCTTCTAGACAAGAGAGATGGTCTACATTCAATGGTAAACTGTGGTTTATTGGTCCATACAGGCTGCCAGGAGATGTTCCAATGATTATTGGCTTCAGCTCTGCTCCCAGATAGCAGCGGATACATGTAACATCAAAGGAATGTATGACGGTATCAAGCAGGGTTTAGGTCCAATACAGAAGAAATCTGCTCCCTTGAAGTCTGCTACAGGTGTGGTCATCCAGGACCAAGTACAGCAGATGGACCGCTGGGTGCAGCACTACTCTGAGCTATATTCCAGAGAGAAAGCAGTAACTGAAGAAGCATTAAATAACATTGAGTGCCTGCTTGTCTTGGAAGTGTTGGACAGTGAACCAACCTTAGCAGAAATAAAAGCGGCCTTGGATTCCCACGCCTCTGGCAGGGCACCTGGAAAGGATAACATCCCACTTGAAGTGCTGAAGTGCTGTAAAGAGATCATCATCACCGAACTGTATGAAGCCTTTCGGCTTTGTTGGAGGGAAGGTGGAGTACCACAGGACATAAAGGATGCAAACATCATCACATTGTACAAGAACAAAGGAGACAGGGGTGACTGCAATAACTACCGTGGCATCTCTCTTCTTAGCATTGTAGGGAAGCTGCTTGCCCGTGTTGTGCTAAAGAGGCTCCAGGTGCTTGCAGACAGAGTCTATCCAGAATCACAGTGTGGATTTCGAGCCAATAGATCTACCACTGACATGGTATTCTCCCTCAGACAGTTGCAGGAGAAATGCAGGGAACAACATGTAGTTTTTGATGGCTCAACATCAGATCACTTTGACATCGGAAGCAGAGTGAAACAGGGCTGTGTCCTCACTCCAACCCTTTTTGGGATCTTTCTTGCTGTCATGCTGAAGCATGCCTTTAGAACTGCAACAGAAGGTGTCTATCTCCGGACTAGATCAGACGGAAAGCTCTTTAATCTCTCTAGATTGAGAGCGAGGACCAAAGTCCAACTGAAATGCATATGGGACTTCCTCTTCGCAGATGATGCAGCCATTGTTGCCCATTCTGCTGAAGACCTTCAACAACTCTTGAATTGTTTTAAGAAGGCCTGCCAAGACTTTGGACTAACAATCAGCCTGAAAAAAACACAAGTCATGGGCCAGGGCATGGACTCACTTCTCTCTATTACCATCTCCACACAAGAATTGGAGGTTGTTCATGACTTCGTGTACCTTGGCTCAACAATCTCTGACACTCTCTCCCTAGATGTCGAGCTGGATAAACGCATTGGCAAAGCAGCTACCATGTTCTCAAGACTCACAAAGAGAGTATGGCTCAATAAGAAGCTGACGACACATACCAAGATCTAGGTCTATAAAGCCTGTGTCCTGAGCACACTCCTGTCCTGCAGTGAGTCCTGGACCCTTTGTGCATGGCAGGAGAGGAAGCTGAACACATTCCATATGCGTTGCCTCCGACGGATTTTTGGTATCACCTGGCAGGACGAAGTTCCAAATAGAGTAGTCCTAGAACGAGCTGGAATTTTTAGCATGTATGGACTACTGAAACAGCGATGTCTATGTTGGTTTGGGCATGTCGTGAGAATGGCTGATGGTCGGATTCCAAAGGATCTCCTGTATGGAGAATTAGTGCAGGGAATTCGCCCCAGAGGGAGATCACAGCTGTGATACAAGGATATCTGCAAGCAGGATCTGAAGGCCTTAGGAATGGATCTCAACAGATGGGAAACCCTGACATCTGAGAGTTCAGCCTGGAGGCAGGCGGTACATCATGGCCTCTCCCAATTTGAAGAGACCCTTGTCCAGCAGGCCGAGGCAAAGAGGCAGTTACGAAAGCAGCAAAATCAGGGAGCTGGACAGGGGACAGATTGGATTTGTCTTCAGTGTGTAAGGGATTGTCACTCTCGAATTAGCCTTCTCAGCCATAGTAGACGCTGTTCCAAGTCCTCCATACAGAGAACGTTACCATAGTCTTTCGAGACTGAAGGATGCCTATGATGATGACTGGTCCATGGACAGCACAAAGAAGTCTGAATGCTTCATCTGACCTTTCCTTACAGCACAGCAAATGCCTTTGTTGGAGTCTTAAAAATTGTGTTTATGTGGTGTAGAGGTGTTGCTCTAAAAATGAAAAATTATTTTAAACTATGCCTCAGAAGAGATGCATTAAAAGGAAAAGTACAATTGCAAAGTGCTCTGTCAAAACAGCTTATTTTACAAAATTACAACATGGCCAGTTGTTTTGGAACACAGAACTGATAAGATAACAAGGCAGAAGTTACTCATTCAGTTTCATGCCAGTTCTTTCGGTGAACAAAACACTGAGTGCTTACATTATGTTAAACAGAGAACAGGAAAAAATGGAAAAACATTTTAAATTGCCACTTGTGTTGTGTTTTACTTATAATATTAATTAACAAAGAGCTATAATAAAATAGATGTGGAAACCTGCGTTAAACAAATGGGAATAACAATATATTGCACAATAGAAGCTTTTACAGAATAGTGTAAAAATCGTTTGTATTCCTGCACTGAGCAGGGAGTTGGACGTGATGGCCTTATAGGCCCCTTCCAACTGTACTTTTCTATGATTCTATGAAGTTTATTTTAAGTAACTTGTTTAATAATAAGCAGAGAAGGGGGAAAAGGTGTCATTTATTTTAAAAGACTTTAGCTTCATAATTAATAATTCCCCAATTTGGTGTGACAACAAGAAGTATAACATTATATAATATTCTGTAGTAATTATGACTGAATAGGCATTGGTATTGTATTGACAGTAAATTATATCATTCTAACAAGCACAATCTCAAAGGAAGGGAAATTTAATTCAAACCTTGAAGGCCAGGCTTTGGAGATGCAAGAAATTGGGCACTGTTGGATTTGAGATAGGCAGATCCTATGAACTTCAACATTGAAGCTTCTCATTGGCTGACATTGTCAACATTCTGACACAATTTGTTTTGATAAATGAAGCGGAACTAGACTATAAATAAGAAACACTCATGCACTGCTATATCATGGAGAAACATTTTATCTGAAGGGAACAGAAAGGACACAAGCTTTGTTTTCCAGGAGTGAACACAGCTTATCCAGAGATGTAGCAGTGCAGTAGCAAGATGCTGGAGTTTCTTTCTTAGATTTTGGCTGGAAAGGCTGGATGAACTTTTCTCTTTTTACAGGAAATATATTTCTGTGTGTAAATAACATGCTTAGAGCTAAATAATGTTCTTCATTTTGTATTTTCTTATTACAAGACCTTTGATGTTCTTTAATTGTTTTGAAGAAAGCTTTTTAAATTTTGGGGGTTATACTGCATTTCACTTTTAAATGAAATATAGAGATTCATTCTCTGTCTTTATAGGCTATGAATTCCTGTGTTTTAATTATTTTCCTTTTGATTCAAACATGGCTGTTTCTTATCTGGACTTTTTACACTTATAAGCATACAAGTGAGATGTATTTCCTGACTTAGTACTTGTCCAAAGTTTACGTTCAGTTTTTACTGATTTTTAAACATATGTGCCTACAGTTTTTTCCTAACAATTGTAAGACTGTCTTTGATATTTTTTGGATTTGCTATATTTAAGTATGGAATCTAGAAATATATAAATAAATCAAACTTGTACATATGTAATAAGTTTTGAAGTTGCCTGGAATTATTGCAGCAATGAATACACTTAAAATCAGATACCCAGATGAGTTCAGAAAAGCTTGTAAGTGATTGTCTGGTTTCATTCTGGGATTAACCCTTTACTGGGATGCCAACTATGATGAATCACAGAAACTGTTCCCTTTAACTTGGAGGTCTATAAATCTCTGTATGACTCCCAGGGGAGTCAGTTACCCTTATCAAGTTCTGGCACCTTCAGGTAGCAGAGCTGAGCTTAATTTTTAAAGAATCTTGATTAAGTACTATGTTTGAACCACCAGTGCTGGTATAGATACCACTCTGAGAAGTTTCTAAACAAACAAACTTCAAATTGTAGGATGGGTACCTGGTTTATCATGATATTTAAGCCAACCCAATAAATTAATAAGGGGGGGAGGGAAAAGTACCTGATTTTTTGGCTGTACCCTGCACTCCTCCCGCATTAGGGCTTCCAGGAGAGCCTGTCTTTTTACTCAGGAGACTGTTGAAAAAGCTGGCCAGCACGCCTTCACTTGCAGCATTATCTAGGTAAAAGGGAGACAGGTCAAGTTTAATGATTATGACAGATTAGCATCCTTAACACTTAAAAATTATTTTAAAAATATGAACCAAAACAGTGAAAGAAGAAGAAAAAATCATACAAGCAATCCAACCTCTAATGTGTCTTCCCACTGTTTATTTCAACAGGCTTGTGTGCAAAAAAATAATAATTATCTTCTATTATTCATCTCTCACAAGTCACTTGCTCTTCTATTATAGCCTATTAACTAACCATCCTTCTATCGCAATCCATTTGGATTTGTCTGCCCACCTTGTTGGATCTATAAGAATAAATCTGTGACTCTTAACCTCATGCAATCTGTATCAAACTGAAAAGGGGTTCAGAGCTGGGGACTTGTTATTTGCTATAACTAAATAAAGCCCCAATAAAAAAATCTATCAATATTTTTGATGGCAATTATTAAAATTCAAAATTATCTCCATCACTGATGATGTTTAGCATCAAGCGGCCCAAATGCATGTTCAGGATTCTCAACTACCTTTGTACCTGTCACATCTAACAAACTCATAGTTCTGACAACACAGTTAGACAATATACAAACTGGGTTTCTTAAACTGTAATGCATACTTTTAATAGTTGGATCTGGTTTCTTAACCGATGCTATTGGTGAGGCACTGGGGACATTGGCAGGACCTGGCCGGCCCTGGGGTCTTGGTGATCCAGAAGGCCCACGTGCAGGAGATTCCTGGATAACAACATAATACATCAGTATTTATTTACTCATTTATTTATTTATTTGATTTATACCCCGCCTATCTGGTCTACTCAATAGTAGTATAAATTACAGCCAACAGGTACCTATATATACAGATAACTAGGATCCTTCCTATTGCTCCATTGATCACAGAAGATTAGCCAGTCCTGGCAGAAGGCAGGATGACGAGCCTTTCTGCCGGTCGCAAAGTGGCTAATCCACTGTGAGTGACAGAGAGATAGGAAGGACCCTCGTGATCTGTATCTGTAGGGGGATATTTGTATATAAATACCCCCATCTCTAATTAAGACCCATGTTTTCTTGCTTACAAAACCACCCCCACCCAGCTGAATGGAGTTCTTGAGATTAAAGTGAGTGGGCAAAAGGTAAAACTCGTCTGTCCCCAAGCTGCAAATCCCTGCATCTCAAAATGCAAATCAATTTATTTGTACTTTGATTAAATGTAAGGTAAAATTATTACTGGTTAAAGTTCAGGGCTGGTAGCAACTATTTCTGAGAAACTCTATCCTCAAAACACATTTCTCCTCCACATTTTTCTTTTTATTATCTACTTTTACCACCTTTCCCCCCATTACTGCTCTCAACATTATTCAGTCTCTTATACCCAACTGCTCACATCTTTTTAAGAATCTAGAGCACATGTGCCAAACTCAAGGCCCATGGGTCGTTTCATGTGGCCCTCGCAGTGTTGCCTGCTACTGTGCAGTATATAACACACAGGCGCTTATTCAGTCACCCATAATGCTTCGCAAGGAAGCTGGGAATCCGCCCTGCGGGACTTCTAATCCCAGCATTCCAAGCCGCAAAGAGTCAGAAAGTCCAGCCGCTTGGGAAATGTAGTCTTCACTTCCGGCAGTGGCCCATCTCCGCCTCCTCTCCCACATTGGCTGCAGAAGTGAGTGAGGAGCCAGGTGATAATGAGGGCCCAGGACAGTGGCAAGCTCCAGGGAAAGGCAGGAGACTTCCACGAATAACTAACAAAACAAATACCGGGGATGGGGGGCTGTGGAGCAGGCGTCAACAGGTGGGCAAAGCTGGCTGGGTCAGCAGCGCAGTGGAGAGACATGAAGGGCAGCCCACAGACCTCTGAAAGAGGTGAAGCTTCCTGCCTTGCTCTTCTTGACTTGGGGCACAGCAGGGGTTGCCCTTGCAGCCCTTCAACTGCTTTTCCTCATTATCCACTTATACTGAAGCTGCACTGAAGAGGGGGCGGGTTTTGCGAGTCTCTTTGGGTTTCTGGATATAAAGCATATCATCTTCTCTTTTTCTTATTGACGTTGCTAGTGATGGTGACCCTAAAAGTGCTTGCACTTTGGAATTTAAGAAAAAGGGGCTCAACACCCCAACTTGAAGCAGCAGATTGACTTCCTTGTTCATCTTTTTTGTTCACAGCAATTATTTGCTTTATCATAGTTCTCCCTGTCTCAACTGGGACCAAACAGTTAAACAAAGTTAATATAATAAACAGTGCTTGGTAATACAGTATTTGATGACTTAAAAATACAACGGTGCCTCGCAAGAGGAACACCTCATGGGAAGAAAAAAACGCAAGATGAATGGTTTTTTCGATCGCTATGCTGTCTCACAAGACAACTTCTTCTATGGCCATGCTTCACAAGACTTTATTTCCCCCAAGACTGATGCCTCGTAAGACGAAAAAAATTCATTCATCTTGTGAGGTTCCCATAGGAATGCATTGCAATGCATTCCTATGGTAAGCCACTTTTCGCAAAACTATTTTTTCACAAGACAGCGCTACTCGCGGAACGAATTACATTCATCTTGCGAGGCACCACTGTATATTTATGTTACTAAAAACCCATTTTGAATATATTTTACATTAGTTATACACTTGAATATCTGCTTGCCACTATTTCTAGACTTTGATCATAGACTTTTACTTTCAGAGCTAGTTATTACTTGTGTTATTACTAAAACCAGTAATAATCAAATGAGGAGGATTATATTTACTATGATAAACAGTAGATACATTTATACAGTCTTACAGATACAACCGGCCCTTTGAGGGCAACCGTAAGGCCAATGCAGCCCAAGATGAAACTGAGTTTGACACCTCTGATCTAGAGCTTACTGTAGGAATCTCCTGAATGTTTTATATTAATCAAGAATTAATTTCTTATTTTTTTTCATCTTGAAGTCCAAGGCAACCAGTTCTGCCAAGTCATTCCACTGGTAAAATTATCTTCTCATCTTCTGGATCAGAACAGACAAGCAACGACAGTGCCTTGAGATGTTTGTAGTATGTCATGTTCTAAGCAATTCTCAGCAAACACTGTAGAAGTGTTCAGCAATTTCAGTCATGTGGATTTTGGAACGTCTATCTGTATTTTAAACTGCAAATGATTACCCAATAAACGCATACTTACAGAAGCCCTTGTAGGTGTGGCTGGTTGCTTGGCAAGGTAGGACTGAAAGAGAACAACAGCTCATAAATAAAAGTATTTTTTATCCAAATTTTAAATTTATGTTAAAAATATGTTATTTTATAAGATTGAAAAATAAGCTTGAAAATATACTCAATAGTATCACAGGAGAGCACCAAGAGTTAAAGTGGGAAGAAGGTAACTTGTGCATAACAGACTTGAGACGTGCTTTGTAATGCTGCAGAGGATAATGGAGATTTTTCAGTTACATCTGTACCAAAGTTCACAGCTATCCTAAAACAATGGCTTATCATCAAGGAACTAGGGAGTCCCGCTATTGTGGGACATAGAGATATCTTGCAGTTTCCCAATAGAACTTCAATTTCCTGGTTCTTCGGGAGAAAGCTTGACTACTTTGGGTTGGTAATAGATCATGTGGGAAGGATCTGAAGGTCTTAGACCACAAGCAAAACAAATCAATACAGTGAAACAGTGATCAAAATAAGCAAATGCAATGTTTAGTTGCATCAACAGAAGTAAAGTGTCTAGATCAAAGGAAACGACAGCACTACTCTATTCTGCTTTGGTCAGACCTCACCTGGAGTATTCTATCCAGTTCCAGACACAACCGTTTAAGAAGGATATCAACAAGGGGAACATGTCCAGAGGAGAGCAACTAGGATGATAAAAGATCTGGAAACCAAGCTCTATGAGGATCTGGAAAGGCAGCTGGGTATTTTTAATCTAGAGAAGAGAAGGCATGATAGCCTTCTTCAAATATCTGAAGCATTGTCATGTGGAAGATGAAGCAAGGTTTTTTTTTGTTTTTTTGTTTTTTGTTTATGATAGCCTTCTTCAAATATCTGAAGCACTGTCATGTGGAAGATGAAGCAAGGTGTTTTTGGTTTTTTTTGGTAGCTCTAGAGCAGTGGTGTCGAACTGTAAGGATATCAACAAGGGGAACATGTCCAGAGGAGAGCAACTAGGATGATAAAAGATCTGGAAACCAAGCTCTATGAGGATCTGGAAAGGCAGCTGGGTATTTTTAATCTAGAGAAGAGAAGGCATGATAGCCTTCTTCAAATATCTGAAGCATTGTCATGTGGAAGATGAAGCAAGGTTTTTTTTTGTTTTTTTGTTTTTTGTTTTTTGTAGCTCTAGAGCATCGGGAAGGAAGGAAATTTAGCCTGAACTTTAGGAATAACTTTTAATAGTAGAATTGTTTCAGAGGGTGAGAATAATTTAGTTGTGGATTTCCTGTGTTGGCAACTGATATGTGGGAACTCTTCTAATTCCACATTTCTATGATTCTGTGACAGTTAATGCAGTGTAAAACTGGTTATAGTACATTGACAGCACAATCATCATTCTGCTTTGATAAGGGGTAAGAAGAGAAGGTGGCATCACACATCTAGTGCTTTTGCATTCTAGCACGAAGCACTCCAGTCTACAAACTCAACTACAAGCACTCAGCTATCCATACGCTCACTTCTGCTAATGTAAAAGAAGCACTTGTTCTTTCCAATATTCTAGGCTTCGAAGAAATTCCATAGTATTTAGCATTTTCTTACCTGCTGTTTCATAAGAAACACCTGTTCATCTTCAGCTGCAAGTTCTTTATCATGAACTAACTGATGACAAGGGGGGATAAAAAGAGAAGCACGTTCTTACAAACAGAAAACAGTTGCCCAAATTATAACAGCAGGGTGAAAGGATGCTACCTGGAATGTTCTCTATGCACTCCTTAATACTGTAATTTGATAAATTGTTCCTTTATATTTATGTAAGTCAGGTTTTATATGTTAAAGATCTTAAAAGTTGTACTATTATACTTATTTGAGGTTCCAAGTTAAATTGGCTTAAATAACAAGCATTATTTTATATACAGATATACTAAAACAGATTTGTTCCTCTCAAAGGCTGCAATACCTTTTGGCTTTGGTGTAAAAGTAATATCCTCAGGTATAAGGAAAAAATATTTTGAATAAACCTTTTAAAACCCTAACCAACTCTCCTGGTGATCAGATTTGTCATTTGTTAATTACACACAGCCCAATTAAACTTTTTTTTAAACTAAGCAAAGAATGCTAAAATTCTCTTCCTTAACCTCTTCCTGAGCCAAAAACATGTCAATAACTTTGGGGAACAAAAACGTCTACATGGATATTTACAAGAAAATACTGTTTTTGCGGTGGCTTGGATTCCCCTTTGGCATTACCTGGAATAAATTGCTCTGCCAACAGTACAGCTGGGATAGTATGATTTAGAGCAGTGGTCCCCAACCTTGGGTAACCCAGGTGTCCTTGGACTGCAATTCCCAGAAGCCTCCACCACCAGCTGTGCTGCCTGGGGATTCTGGGAATTGCAGTCCATGAATACTTGGATTGCCCACAGCTGGGATAGTATCATTTAGAGAGTACAAGCGCTAACAGATAAAGAGCCGATGAGGGGGGGGCGGGGAAGAGATCCTGACTGACGTTATGGGCTACATCCTTTTATTTTCATTTATTCTGGGAATTGCAGTCCATGAATACTTGGATTGCCCAAGGTTGGGAACCACTGATTTAGAGAGTACAAGCGCTAACAGATAAGGAGCCACTGGGTGGGTGGATGGTGGGGGGGAAGAGATCCTGACTGATGTTATGGGCTACATCCTTTTATTTTCATTTTATTCCCCATACTCTAACACAATGAGAAATGTGGTGCAACTCTATAAGACATCTTTCATCAAGGCTAGCTCAAGGAACTTAATAGTCCATTTTCATTTCTACACTAGGTTAACAAGCATGAAACACAGTATTATATCCTTGCAATTGAGAACAAAGCTTGGAAGTGAGGCATTTCAGGCGACTATGTGTGTTACCTGTAATACTTTGAGACACGTAACATTAATTTTGCAAAAAAAATGGGCACTGACTGTAACGTCATTACTGTACAGAATGTGAAACATTTAATTATTCCATCTAAAGTATTTTTGTACTATTATGGCTGTTTAATAGAAACATTCTCCCTCTCTCAGAGCAAAATTATAATTAACAACCAGAAAAGCAAACAAAACACAGCAAATATACAGGCATATTTTGAAAAAAAAATTCCAGACCACTCCAGCTCCTAAAGAAAATCATTTGGACTCGTACGTCAAATTAAAATGTTCATCACTATTACAAGATTTAGACAATTCATACAGCAATCTAAGCATGGATAAAACAACAGGACAGGTCCCCCCCACAAAGTGCAGCTCCTATTGCAGAATAAAAGAAGTCCTGAGAAAGGATCCGGCTAAGACAATCAATCCGTTACAAGAAATGTGTGTCCGTATTTAAGAATCAAAGCATCAACATCTACTGCCCTAACGGCTGGTTCAGCTTTGCATCTCGTGTGCTCCATGGAAGACATAGAGCTGTGGGTGGAGATACCAAAAAACAAAAGCCACCATAGTTATTTCATGGAGTGAGTCTTTGGAAATGACTGATTTAATTAAATTTCTCTTAAATTCAGTTTTACCAGAAGGGAATCTTCATACAACACACAGAAAGACGTCACAGAACACTTAAGGCAAAACCACTTCCAGTTAAAAATAAAAAATAAAAGTCTAGACATAGAATAACATGTTTCACTTTAGAGTTCACCAAATAACTTTTTCAGAATTCAGATGGGCAGCAGGGATGTCTAATGCATGAACACAGGCAGACGCTAAAATTTCTGCCACAAAACTTTGCAACCCCTCCCCCCAAAAAAACCTTTGCCCTGCAGAGACTACCCCTATAAAGCTTGAATAAAATACTCTACGGGTCATCTAGCTATGTTGATAAAAAATATGTGCTCACTCACAAAAAGTGAATTCTATAAACGTCTTCCTTACTTCTTCCTTTATATCTCACTTACCAAACAACAAATACTGTGAAACTAACACAACTTTACCTGTATTTTGCAGTAATAAGTACTGGATTAATAATTGTTTGTTTTAATTTCTCTTATTTAACCTGTTTAAGCATTTTATTGATTGACTGATCACAAAAATGATTTTAAGCAACGTTCCCTCTACGCTGCGCAGGTACACAGGCAGCCGGTGTTGCTGCCCATTTGGTTCCAGTTGTGGCCAGAACTTTGCGCACAAGGGGCAGGATTTCCGCTGGAGGAAAATTAAAAATTGCATTCAATTTTCCACCAGCACCGAGCAGAAACTCCGCCCCACACATGCACAGTTATGGCCACTACTGGAACCCAGTGGGTGGCAACACTGCCTGCAGGTGAACAGCATCGATGCAACGCTCTGCGGCTGCGCAGCTTTGGGGGAATGTTGATTCTAAGCTTAACCCCTGCCGACATCGCTCCAGTTTTGTTATCCCAAAGTTACTGTCCCCAAGGACAAGACAGAAGGGGTGACTCCTTCTAGAGTTTTCCCACACCACAGAATGGGGAAAGGCAACGGATCTGTATGTTGTTATAAAACTAATAAAAGTGTATTTTCTTCTGCTGAAAATATTGTTTTTTTTGGGTCATGTGAAGCCACATTTGTATTCAAGCATATTTTTAAAAAAATAGTAATCATCCAAAAAGAAATAAAAATAATAGATTAGTATTTTAGTATTACCTATCAATGTGTCACTCCTAAGATGAGTAATAAACTTTTCAAATAAAATAACATTCCAATCTTTTAAAAAATACCTTTTGAATTTATTCACAACCTGACTTACTGTATTTTTCCATTTATAACAC